CTAGATTCTCAGCCCGTGCCATAGCCTCTAATGTAGCAGTGCGTAGGTTATTTTGGCTCAACAACTGGCATGCTGACACTAGGCACAAATGGAGGGTGACAGCTGCCCCGTATCAGAGCGGTCGTCTCTTTAGGGAGGCCTTCACCCCTTATCTGGTAGAAAACAGGGAAAAGAAGAGAGTACTCTCTCATCTTTTCAAAAGGACTGGTAGGCGTTTTAATGCGTATAATCGCCGTCCTTCCTTTTGGGCAGGCTTAGACCAGACTTTGGGGAGCGTATCTCGGCCCTTTCCAGCAGGGCCGGACCGTTCCTCGGACCGGTCCGGCTACAGAGACAGGCCAAAACCTCAATTTCAGAACAAGCGACCATTCCGTGGTAGGGGAGGTCGTCCCTTTCATAGGTCAAAATGACTCGGAAAGGACTCCTCCCATAGGCGGCAGTCTGGTTTATTATTTCCACAAATGGGAAGAAACCACCACGGACACTTGGGTTCTCACCACCATCAGGGACGGTCTGTCCCTGGAATTCTTAATGCATCCCCCTCGGCAACTAATCGCCTGCCCCCGTCGCGAAATCCCATAAAACAGGGTCTTATGAAGGAAGCCATTCAACATTTACTAAACATAGAGGCCATAGAGCAGGTATCGTTGGATCAATTGGGACAGGGGTTCTACTCCATCCTCATTTACAGGCCCGTCTGAAGTTTGCCAATGAACATCTGAATGATTCAGAGGAGAACTGGGTGAAAGTGTTGCGGTCAGATGAAATCAAAATCGAGCTCTTTGGCATCAACTCGCAGTGTTTGAAGGAGGAGGAATGCTGCCTATGACCCCAAGAAAAGCATCCCCACCATCAAACATGGAGGTGGAAACATTAAACTTTGGGGGTGCTTTTCTGCTAAGGGAACAGGACAATTTCACTACATCAAAGAGACGATGGACAGAGCCATGTACCGTCAAATCTTGGGTGAGAACCTCCTTCCTTCTGCCAGGGCATTGAAAATGGGTTGTGGATGGGTATTCCAGCATGGCAATGACCCAAAACACACAGCCAAGACAACAAAGGAGTGGCTCAAGAAAAAACACATTAAGGTCCTGGAGTAGCCTAGCCAGTCTCCAGACCTTAATCCCATAGAAAATCTGTGGAGGAAGCCGAAGGGTTCAAATACTCATTTCACTCATTAAAAGGCCAATCAATTTATAACTTTTTTGAACTGCGTTTTTCTGGATTTTTTGTTGTTATTCTGTCTCTCACTGTTAAAATAAACCTACCATTAAAATTATAGACTGATCATATAATTTTTATAAACATATAAAATCAGCAGGGGACCAAATAATTTTTTCCCTCACTGTAGCTGTTACCATGTTGACATGCATATTTAACGATCACAAATGATGCTTTGGGAGCTCTTACATGAAGGTTGCTTGATTGATCCAATGAGTAGACAATTGAAAGTGAATGCCTATATATTTTAAAAGTCAGCACTTGCTCAATAGGTCTGTCATTAATTTTCCAGCTAATCAGTGCTTTAGGGTTATTGACCTGAAGCCATTCCCCTATGACAATAAGAAGAGAATACTTCAAGGCATCCAAGTAGCCCTACCTGGGTTATGGAAAGTATGGAGGTATCATCAACAGAGAGATGGAGCGTGAAATTCTAGTTTAGCAAAGGCTTCAGTTACAGCATTAATATATCCATTTAGCAATAATGGGGCTAGTATGCAACCTCGTTTTATACCTTTTAGCTTGGGAGTAGGTTTAGTTAGTTCTCCTGTACAATTTACCTTAACTTGCATGGTACTTTCTAAGTACAATCATATTAATTTAAGAAGGTTGCTATCAATCTTATAGCTAATTTTCTCTGAAGTCTCTCGCATGCTATAGAATCAAAGCCCATCTTTAATTCTATGAAAGCCACATAAAGGCTGCCTTTGGTAAGGCTATTTATCACTTGGGTAATGTAATTTTGTGCCTTGATTCAAAGTTGAATGGCTGGGTGTGAACTCTGCCTGCTCTGATGCCAGGATGCTTTTGGAAAGCCCCCCAACCAGTAAGTTTATAATAGAAAAAACTGGTATATAATTTACTGATTACAGATAAGGGACTGATATGGTGATGGTTTGCATAATCAGATTTGTCTTCTTTCTGTATATTAGAAGAATAATGGAATTATTGTGGAATTGGGAAAGTTAGTCAGGGTAGTGAAGAAAAGAGCCGGAACAGATACCATTGGGTGAAATTAGATTTTAAGAATTTGGGTAAAACTGTTTACCACTCTTGGATGGGGGCTTTGTTATTTTTCAACTGAGAAATTAGTTTTTGAACTTCTGTTTATGAGACCAGGACTATTACAGTTTATTATTATTTTCAGATAATTTTCTTGTTTTTATGATGATCTGGATTGCTATCTGCTCTGAATATTCAGGAATATGAAGCACATAAAATAAAGGCATATAAATAAACATAAGGATCCTCTCCTAATTTTCCTTATAATACACTTTTCTTGTATTTTGATATATTTACAGCTCTTTGTGCTGTAGAAATGACATCATGATGAATAAAAATAGGCTAGCCAACAGAAGAAATAATGAGAGCTTTAACTCACCAATGTCTGGTTTTCCTTCTTTGAAACCTCTGCAAAGTGTGTTAAGGTAGAAAAACATTCCCTTTTAGCAAATCTAGTTACAGGTAGTTCTCAACTTACAACCACAACTGAGTCCAAAATTTCTGCTGCTAAGTGAAAACATTGGTTAAATAAATTTTGTCCCATTTTACAACCTTTCTTGCCACAGTTGTTAAGTGAATCAATGCAGTTGTTAAGTTAGTAACATGGTTGTTAAATTAATCTGGCTTCCCCATTGACTTTGTCTGTCAGAAGGTCACAAAGTGATCACATGACTTGGGTCACAGCAACAGTCATAAATATGAACCAGTTGCCAAGCATCTGAATTTTGATCATGGGATCATGGAATCAAAATTCAGATGCTTGGCAACTGGTTCATGCAACAGTTGTAAGTGTGAAAAACAGTCATAAGTCACTTTTTTCAGAGCTATTGTAACTCCGGTCACTAAACGAATGGCTATATGTCGAAGACAACCCCTATTCAGTCAGGCAAAAGGATGTGCTTGCTAAATTGCAGTGCAGGCACAGTGCAGATTAGTAGCCAACCGGGTGATAAAGCAAGTGTAAGCAAAATCCCAAGATTCGTCAGATCCAATACTCATCTAATCCAACTAATAATTCAGTAACATTGATGTTACCAGCAAGAAAAGATGTATTCAGAAAACATGAACTGCTATCATTTTGTTTATTAGATTTGCAACACACAATTGGTTCAGGAACTCAAGGTAGTATAACAAAATGCCCTACCCTCTCGTATTTCCTCATAACCCGTAAGTTAAGTAAAATGGAAATAACTGAGAATGAGCTCCTCCCTCCTAGTCGTAACGTTAACACTTTAACCACTAACCATAATAGGTCTTTTTTTCTTTTTATTGTCTAGCCTAGGAGGGAAAAAACCTTATAGAGTTCTTTGCAGTTGATTTTCAATAATACACTAAACAATATGGTATTATCTCCAATGCTTCTGTATATCAGATGTTAAAAACAGGAACAGAATTGTTTTGTTCCTGCTTTTGTTTAGATCTTGTGAACAAGATTTTTGGTTGATAATTTATATATGTTCAGCTACAGGTCTTATTGGATTCAGATGCAGCATGTTTCTTCCAGGTAAATTGGCATTCAATTGCAGCTTAAATGGACCTTTTATTTTATCAAGCAAAGCTATATACCCTTGTCATGAAGCATGATTTATATTGCAATAAATTGATTCTCAAAGGTGAGGTGCTATTATTCAACGAAGGGAAAATTAATAACCATTTGCAAACATATTTATGTTAAATAGCCAATCACTGGAGAAATGTACAAAGGTGCTTCCACTTCAATAGAAGAAAATGTGCTTCAACTGTCCTTTAATTATGGAATTTCACAATGGATTCAGGAATCGCATTTTTTTTTAATTTGCAAACTTTGCTTTCTTTAACATTCTTCCATTCTTTTTTGCAGACAAACGTTGTTAAAGAGAACAAAACAAAACAATTTTACCACACCTTTTAGTGAGTACTATCTACAACTGCCACTCTGGGAAAGTAACAGGCCAGGGATTTTGGACAGCTCCTGGCACAATCTAAAAATACTGCGCTATGTATTGCTGCGGAGTTACATCTATGTATCCTTTAAATAAATAAATAATATAGCTTATTGTATTTTTCGGAGCATGCTTGCCAATAAAGCTTGTATGGGGAAATCAATCTGCCTCATTCTCAAACCAGACACTGCTGCTTTCCAGTCACCTCCCATTTCCTACCCAGTGCAATTTTCTCTTATCGCACACAGATCATTGTTCGGGAGGGAAATCTAGACAAGCTGCACCCTCCCCCTCCCCCCTCGGGAATAAGCATTCTAAGATCTGTCGGTGTAGAAACTAAAAAAAAGCGGGAAACGTCACCTAGGGAAAGATACTCTACTCTGGACTCCTTGTAGCATTTGGGGAATGTTGTAAGGTAAACTACCTTCGCTTTTCAACAGCGATACAAGTAAAATTTGACCGGATTTTCACCAGAGGAGGTTAGTTTCTGTCGGGGATAGTGGCGTTCTTAACCTCGCTGCGGATCCCGGAGCCGCCCGCGCTGACCGTTCCGATCCGCTTCCCTTTGTTCCCACTTTGTACCGGATTCAATCCCGCGCTGCCCCCTCTGTAGAGCTCGGAACACTTGTAGCCACCGCCACGCCTCTTTGCGCAGGAAAGGCACACACACCTAAACACCGTGCCCGTTAAAGGGCCTCCGGAGCCGCCACGGCCCGCCCCCTCCCCTCCCTCCGCTGGTTGCCCCCGAGCTTGGTCCACCGGGAGGAGGTGGTTTCCACGGGAAAGGACTCGGCCCTTCGAGGCTGAGGCGGAGCTGTGCTTCTGGGAGGAGGCGGGGGCCGAAGCTGTGTGGCGGGGGCAGGACGCGCCCACGGACGCTGGAGGGGGCTCTACACCGCCGCGGTTCCCCTCCCCGCCTCCCCTTTAGGCGGGGGCCGGAGCGCTAGTGGGAGGAGAAGGAGCAGGAGGCGACGGCAGCCACAGACACCCGGAGCAGCTGCGCCGGTTCCCTGCTCTTGCCTCGACTGGACATCTCGAGCTCCCGCTCCCGCCCCTTAGCCGGGGCGCCTTTTCCCTTTCCTCTGGCGCCTCAGCCATGGCGACCTCGGTCCCATCGCTCTCTCGATATTGCCCCTGTTGCCCTCCTTCTGCTGCCGTCGCATCCGCCCCCTCCTCTGTCTTTTCGAAGACCCTTTAATGGCTCGGACCCTCCAGCGACCGCCACCCGACTTGTTTGCGCCGCCGGTGGCCGCCACAACGAGCAAAGCCTGAGAGGAGCGCCGCGCACGGTAAGGGAGCGCAGGACTTGGAAACAATGGGAAGAAGCGGCTGGGGTGCGCGCGCTTCGGCTGGTTGGCTTGCTTGCGGAGAGGGGGGGAGCCCTTGGGGGCGCGCGGGGAGAGGGGCTGATTGGCAGAGGTCGGCCTGGGGCGGGGAGAAGCAGACGGCGACACTTCAGCGGGGGTGGTGGGGGGGAATCTCTTGCCCTGGAAATCCGCTTTAAGAAGGCTAAGGTGTGTGCGCTGTTCTCTTTCCCCCGCTCTCCAGAACATCTCCGCCCCGCCTCGCCCCGGGCTTGATATCCAAAGACTACTTTGCGAAGTTGGTGCCTTTTGTTTCTTCGGGATTTGGAACTTGTTCGCGCAAAAGGCCTTCGCTCCCTGCTACCCCTTACTTTGCTCTCCCCGCCCTCTTACTCTTTGCAGGATAGACTGCCGGTGGGCGGGGGAGGAGCGGCTGGGAGGGAGGGTGGCATCATCCGAGCCCCTTGTTTTCCCAAGGCGCTGGAAGCGAGCCATTTACACGTTATCACTCTCCAGACAGAGACACTCATCTTTGATCATCCCGACGATCACTCTCTCAGTCAGGTGGGCTGGGCACAAAGGAAGGTGAGGGAGAGTGTCCTGGGTATGAGAAACCAGACCTGGATCTCTTTGGTATCATAGTGAAAGGTCGATTATCGCCCCTGGGAGGCAGAGCGGATCAGGACTTTGGAAAATGTGTTGTGGGAAGGGCAGAAGTGGCCCAGGTAGTGGGACTGAGCAGAATTGGCAGTGTATAAAGCGGTCGAGGTAAAGGGTGGAGGGTTTGGGTTCAGGTCCCATGGGTGGGTGGTGGAATTTGAGTGTTTCTGGGGGCAGGAGAAGCCAAAGGGACATACTAGTTGTGAGAAGTTTTATATGTAAATATATTCTTTGTACTGTTTCCATCTTCCCTTAAAATATTAACAGAATCCACAATGGTCTGAGAATCAGTATCTCCACTAGATAATTAACAGTCAAGCTGAAACTAAGTTAATCAACTAAAATTAGCAAACTTCCTCAAACCCCAAATAAGTTACCCAGACCTAATCCCTATAGCAAAGAATAAGATCTGCAAACATGGAGTTAATTAAATTAGGACTTCCAGAGGAATTGCATGTTCACAAGAATAAACATACCTACATACACATGCCCTCAAGTGTCACCCTAGAATCAGCACATAACTGTCATCCCCTAACCTCTGCTGAAGGTGTTACCTAGCCTGGTAATGAAACATTCAGAAACCAATCCACAAGCTCTGAGAACTAACTTCACCCTCATCCTATACCCTGAGGTGTCCTGCTCCATTAATTATTAGGCAAAAGATGCATTGGGTTGTTCTGCTTCTGGTATTGAAACCTTTTAACTTGATCTTGAAGGGATTGACCAGGAGCCAAATATTTCCTTTAAAAGAAACCATTCCACCCCCCCTCCCCCAGGAAGCAACGGTGTAGCCCAATAAAAGTGCAACAGCTCTCAGTTTAGTGATATTTGCAATAGACATTTAATACCAGTGATATTTGTAAATTTCAAAACTGAGCAGAACAATGGTGGAAGAATTCCTGTAATTGCATGCAGTGGAATAGAATACACACCTGTATGTCTCTGCTGCAGATCAAAATAATGGGTGTATTTCAGTAGAAATGAAATATATTTCATTGGGCAGCCCTTCTGAACTTGATGCCCTTCAGAAGTTTTGGACAACTCCCTGTTATTAGATTAGATGGAAATTAATAAGAATTGAACTCCAAACATCTGGAGAACACCAAGTGAGACTGCATACATGATGAATTGTACAATGATACACAGCTCCTAAATCAGGTGAGCTACTTTCAGATCTATCACAAATAAGCTGTTCTCTTATCACTCAAGTTATCCTATGCCTGATGAATTGTAGCTGATTGGATGGATATTTTATTTATCTAAGTGATTCTGGGCAGTTTACAAATAATTGAATAGAATGGAAAAGCACTGTGACAAGATATAACATGATTTTTTTTTAAAATTCTGGTGACTTAATATTATTTGCAAGTTATCAATGCATTCTTATGTTTTGAATGCCTTTCACTTCTCATTTATTTTATTTCTTTACTGGGGCTTTATGCTACTCTAGTCCAGCAGGACTTTTGGAAAACCCTGCTTGCTCTTCTGCCAGTTATCTATTTTACTCTTTCTCAACTGAATGCTCTTCATCCCCAACAGTGTAACCGGCAACATTTGGAGCATAGTAGATTGAAGAATACTGAAATTTTTAACACTTAGGCATACAATTAATAGAATACATTCACAAAAAATGCATGTTTCTCATCTATCATGGTGAAGAGGTTTTGGATAGCTAGAATGTTTGGGATTAAGGTATTTGCTGTGTTTGTATTTGTACTATCATTGATATGCCTATACCAGTGGTTCTCAACAGAAATTTCTGTTTCTAATGCTGTGACCCCATAATACAGTTCCCCATGTTGTGGTGACCCCCAACCACTTATACATCACCGGGTGCCAGGGGTGTGGCCAAAGAAAAGGGGGAAAAATGGCGGACAGCCTTGTTTGGTGACCCCTGTGAAATGGACATTCGACCCCAAATGGGGTCCCGACCCACAGGTTGAGAACCACTGGCCTATACTATGAATGCAAATCATACATTTTGCCATTCTGTGCAGCCCTGCTCCTTAATAATTGATATGTTATGATGACTTCTGCATGTCAGAGATACATTCTATAAATTAATCCTTTCCCACATATATTTAGATAGCAAGTCAGTGTAATTGCAGTTTGTCATATCTAGGATACTTCCCATATGGCAAACTAGTGAGGCACCAATGCAAAGAAGGTTGAAAGCAAGACAAGACTAGAGTTTCTAGGATGATGCAGACTAGTTTCTTTGCAGCCAAAATGCATACAGGTTTTGAATCTCCTTGAAATAAATTCCGTTTTTTCTTTTGAAAAAATAAGTGGCTCTAGGCTTGGATTCCCTTATGCAATTTGCTGTGACTGGGTCAGTCTCTCTTCCTTAGCCCAACTTATTTTGCAGCATTCTTGTTTCAAGAATAAAATTAAGAGGAAAGCCTCTGTATAAATTCCCTCAGAAAAGGTAGGATATAAATGCCACCAAGAAAGTAATGAGTCAGGACAACCGCTGAATCTATTGAATTTGCTTTTGGGGGAGAAAAGATGTGATAAAGAAACAGGGGTCTTCTGAAGGACAAAAAAAGAAACTCAAGGAAGAGCCAGCAAAGTAACTGCTTTCATGCACTATGGTGGCTCCTCTGGCAGGCTAGAAGGGACTTCACTTTGCTGAGTCCTATCAAGGCATTGCTTTATGAAAGGTATGATTGAAGCAAAGCACCTCTTGGAAGGTTCATGATACTTATTTTAATATGAAAAATACATATTGTTTAGCTTTATTCCCTTCCTTTAAAAAAAAGCATTTATTGCTTTTGACACTCTTTAACCAAAGCATGTAATGAGCTTTTCAGTCATGATCTCAAGTTTACTTTCAAATTAATAGGACTCTGGGGAATGAGAAGATAACTATTTAGGCCCTAGGATTATTTAGTTATTTGTATTTTAATTTTTGGGTATGCATTTTTTGTTGTAAAGCATCCAACATAAATGTTGGAAGAAGCCGTTGATATTGGATATGACCCAGTTTAAATAATATTATAATGCTGTTTTTAACAGTCTCTCCAAACTCTCTTGTTAGTAGAAGTAAGGTGAACAATTATGTACTCACATTAAAATATTACCCTGCAGTTTGGTGTTCAATTAATCAGATTACATATAATGTAGTATCATGAGTCTTAAGGAAGCTTAACTGAATTAATTAATTTAACTGAATTCAATGTTTAACTGGACTGAAATCTGCATTAACTATAATATATAATCTTCCAGCAAACCAGAACTGGCATCTTGCTTTAAAATGACTTCATAAACATGGACTTGTGCTTACTGCTTTGATGACTAATACCTAAAACCATTACTCTTCTCAGCAACAATAGCAGAAGAAAAATGACAAGACCAAGGAGATGAAAATCATAACTAGCTGTAAATTGTTTAGAAAGTTCAAACATGGCTTTATTCTGTCTCTGGAGCAACATCAGCCTATTGCAATATGTGAACTGAGCAAACTGAATGGTTGAGAATAGATTGGTGTATAGCTGCTATTCCCTTGGACATCTTGGGAGCACATGAAAAGTTGCCCTGATAATATTAATTGTATAATATGTGTTTCTTGAGCTTTCTCTTTTTTAAAAAATATTTTATCATTATGTAAACATTGTACAAAGTGGAAGATCAAAAGCAGAGATAGATATTACATAATAAAATATATTGTTAAGAAAAAGATTCAACATTCATTCTTTTTTCCCCTAACAATTAACCACTATTTAGATATTTATACTTTGCTCAAAATCTTTGTAATTGTCCATCTGAGTTATTTTTTTCAGTTCTTTTTCATCTATTTCTCTCTTTTCTTCAAAAGCCATATTCTAAATGTCTTGGCTTATTGTGTGGCATAATATGTTGCATCTAAGGCAGCCATTCCTACCAGAGGCTGGAAGCTTTCTTTAAGGAACCTCACTGGAAAAATGTTTTTATATTATCGGACTGTTTTATAGCATCACTTTATTGCAGTTGGTGTAAAAGTGAATGGGATAATAATTTAAAATACTTCACAATAATGAAAAAGGAGAGAATCTGCTTCTTAGCCCTTTCAGAGACCAAATGAGGAAACAGAGTAAGAGTACTTCAGGTCTTGAATATAGACCAGAGGTCTGCAACCGTGACAACTTTAAGACTTGTGGACTTCAGCTCCCAGAATTCCTCAGCCAGCATAGCTGGCTGAGGAATTCTGGGAACTGAAGTCCACAAGTCTTAAAGTTGTCACGGTTGTAGACCCCTGATATAGACTATAGCAGGGGTGTCAAACGGCCGGCCCACAGGCTGGTTGCATCATTCAGAGGCCACGCCCATCCCAGCTCCAGCAATGC